TTTTTTTTTTTTTTTTTTTTTGCCGCTAACTCAACCTGGGATATGGATCTGGAGGAAAACCTGCATCCTCCCCCCCCCCCCCCCCATACGCCCCCCCCCCCCCACACACACACAATGATGTTTACCTTGAATAAACTTTTAACATTTGTGCGTGCGGTTTAATGTATTTATTATTAATATTATTAGTCGCAGGTGGCCAATGTGGCATATGGATTTCATGAGAGTTGCCTACTGGGTCAGCCTTACACCAAATAGATATATTTATAATATTCGTCCTGGAATAAACTTTTTTTTTAAATCTGTCTCCTTTAATTTATTTATATGATTTAATACAGAACAGGTCTTTTTTTATTTTGCAGATCACCCATCTGGCTAATGAACACTATGAAAACATCCTTCTCAGCCCCTTCCTCCTAAAATTGTGTTTATCTCTGAATAAACTTTTAAAAAACTGTGTGTCCTTTGTTTCATTTATGTGATTTCATGCAGTTCGACCCCCTTGTTATTTTTGCAGTTCATCACTCTGCCATGTTGATCTCCAGAACGTACCTTTCCTTGACCTCCACCCTCCCTGAATTTTTTCAGTGCATCATGACTTTTCAGACCTTAAGAGTGTAAGGATGGGATATATTTGTGTGTGTGTTTGTATTTGTATATTACAAATAAATGTCAGCCTCTGTGGACTAGAATTAGGTTAATTTTAGATCTTCAGCGCCTACTAGCTGCAAACAACTGTAAGTGCAGAAAAGTTATGTAATTATTTATTTTTTTTGTTGTTATTGCAAAGGTCAGGCCATTTTCATGGTTAAAGGGAAATCAGAATTGCTTGTCCTCACCAGAGAACTCCTCTGTCAGACAGAGGATCTGAAGCATTGGGCTTGCCACTCTTTGCTTTCCTGACATTTATGGGCTGAGCAGGAAGGCGTGGGAACTAGTTGGCTTTTTTATTATTTTTATTATTGCACCATCAAGGAACAAAGTGAGAAAGGCAGAAACCCCTAAAATTGAGGTTTTTTAAAGTTATCTTCCATGGCAGGAATAAACAGAAACTTTTTTCCTAAGGGTAGTGTTTTTTTTAAGAGTACAAACTACAGCAGAAGAGGGAAATTTTCTCATTAAAGTTACATCCCTGCAGTTAGTTCAATTACTTGATATATGCAGAAGATGTTGTAAATTTAAAGATTTAAATAGCTTACAAAGATGCCGGAGGCTCCATCAGTTAATTTCCTTAATTTATGGATTTTTAGCTGAGCTTCTGAAATGAAAAGGAGAATGAGAACTAGGTCAGCTGAGAGATTTGCATCCAGCACAGACTCAAATTTGTTTTGCCTTGACCATCCTACCAGGTACCTTTTTTAGCAGGGGCAACAGTTTCACCTTTGGCCTTTGAAGTAGGTCTCTGTATTGCCTATGAAAGTCCAGCACAAAAGGGTGGATTTTATTTTAAACTAACCTCCTGAACATAACAGTGTCTTCAAACAGCTGCCTCACCATAGCAGTGGACAAGATTGTAGCCTAACTTTCCCTTTAACAGTTCAACAAGTGCAGTTCCAGGAGAGAAAGAAAACCCACTGAGATTTTAAGTCTTTTGCGGCACAAGTCAAATAAGACTGTTTTGGTGAGGCACATGCTGAAGATTTTATATGATTTAGCCGCTTAATTTTTGTTTCATCTGTAGGTTATGGTCTAACTGACAAACATAAAATAAGTATGAGAATCATGAGCAGTAATCAAAACATAACTGGAAATATAATGTTTCTATATCAAGGCTCAATAAAGAGGAAACAGAAATAATTACAATATTTTATTGAACAGAAAGTAGAAATTGCTTCCTTACTCAGTCCCAACCCATCTCAAAAAGGTATAATTTAAATGTACTGCATAGTAATAAAATGTCTGGCTGGGTTGTTTTTTTGTTTTGTTTGTTTTTTAAGATAAAAGCAAAGACACAATTGTAGTTGAGAATGAAAAAGATGTATGTATTACACAGTATTGTTTTCATGGTATCTCGAAAGGGACATTGTTCTCGATTTAAGTTTTTTTTTACCCATATTACTGTAGTAGATAGTAAAGGTGTTCTGTATAGCACTACATGCACTCACTCAGTTCTTTCTTCTCACTCAATTGTGTGAATGCCACTTTGTTGTTGTGTTTCAATATGTATGAATATATACATATGAATTAATACTTGAAAGATTTATATAAACTAAACAGTTTTAGGAAGCTACATTGCAATATGATTAGTGTTGGTGTTCATGCTTTAACATTTCTTTTCCCACTAGATGAAGTTTCTAAGATTTGCAAGGTACATGTCAAGGACGGGTATATAAAAGGATTTTTATTTATTCACAACTCCAAGACTAATTGCTTCTCTTTGCCTGAAGGCCAAGAGATTGGTTTTAATATGACACTTCAAAAGTATTCATAGAACTACACAGATACTAAGTGTCATTGTTTAAGAGAGAAATCTGGCTATGGTACTTGTGACCCTGAAAATAAAATCTTCCACTGTTTTTCAGAGATTCACTTAAAGCTCAACTATTAAAAAACTGTACAAAATAAAATATTAAATACTTTGAAGCAACCAAGAAAAAAGAAACAATTTTAGAAGTGAACATAACTTATTTTCTTAGCAATATTATCACATCCTTTATAAAAGAAATCCAAACTCATCATATAAAATTCCTGAGCTCAGGCATGGAATATTATAATTAAAATTCGTAAGTTAGAGGACAGCTTACTTAAGTGTTTTAAAAGTTCTTGCCTAAATGTGAAACGTATTTTATTAGGTATTAAATAGCACAGGCAATAAACTATTTTGCATTTTCCTTATCAACATTTCTTTGTAGCCTGTTGCAGATGCTTAATTTGTATTGAAAAGGTCAAAACCATTTTATAACATATGTCTTGTTTTATCTTATTATTACATAGTTTGAGTTTGAATTTTTTCAATATGCTAATCAAAGATTTATTGGTAAGTATTATTAAGAGTTGAAATAGAAATCCATAAAATCACTACATTTCCGTTTTCTTTAAACTGTTTTCATGTTGTCCTAAAACAATGCATGATGCATATTTTACAATAAAAACTTAAAATAAGATAGGGGGTCAACACATGCACAAGTTCAGATTTCCAGGTGTCCTAAATCTCCTTTCAGTATAATTTACTGAAGTCTTTTAAAATAATCATATCTGAAAATTACTACTCACATAAAAGAAAGTGTGAATGAAATAAAAAGTAAGAACATCCTGTTTCCATGAATACAGTAGTCACAACAGTAACCTCTTAACTATTATTTCTTAATTATTGTACAAAGAACCACAACAAGTGCCTATTGCAGTCCATGACTGATCTTGTTATTGTATGCTTTGTCCTGTGTCATAATTTACCTCTGTACTTGTTGCCCTGTTGTATTATGTCTGAAATTAGGTTCCAATCCTGCCTTTACTAAAGTCAATGGTAACACGCCAGGTAGGATCAAATCCATAAATTATACATTTCTGGGGTAGGCGCCTTGCCTTTTCATGTTTCTGTAAAGTGTCTAGAACACTTTGGGATATTTTTAATAATAATAAATAATAACAATAAGTAAAACAGATCACTTGTGATTTTTAAAAAAAAAAACAAGAATGAAACAGTGAAGGATTGAGAGCTAGATGTCTGTCCCTTTAAAACTAATGTCTCCATACAGAATTATATTTCTTCCTACTCATGGCTAAGAAACCATTACATTGTGGGTGCAGTTTTGCCTGAGGGGAAAGTTAGAGAGCTGAGCAAGTACCTTGTGAACCAGTGCTTCAAAAATAATTGTTGGACCCAAGTGTGTCCTCAATCAATTAAACCTTGGTGTCTTTGATGAGTTTTCATTGGTATGGCTGAGGGTAGAATTTTGCCTTCTGTCAGGGTAAATAAGGCCAAACACAGAAATGAATAAGGAACAAGACACATCTCCTGGTGAAGAAAGTATAGATGCCAGGGGACTTGTAACCAGCACTAATGCTTCAACTGGTGAGAATGAGATGGAACCAAAAGATGTGAAGAGGATGCCAGTTCAGAGAAAGTTTTATATGGAAGATGTGCTGCGTATGTGGAGAAGCAGTTATTTTAGTAAGATACTTCAAAATATAAGTATCAGAGGGGTAGCCGTATTAGTCTGGATCTGTAAAAAGCAACAAAGAGTCCCGTGGCACCTTATAGACAGACGTATTGGAGCATAAGCTTTTGTGGGTGAATACCCACTTCGTCAAATGCATGTTGCATCTGACGAAGTGGGTATAAGGTGCCACAGGACTCTTTGTTGCTTTTTTCAAAAGATTAAAATACCTGGACATCCCAGTACTTCTGGTTTCTGTCAGCTGGCCTGATGTGAGAAAAGAAAGAATTAAGGGCATCAGTTCAAGCAGGTCAAACAGCGACATGAACTGGGTTTAAAGCAAACTGCAGTGCTGGTCATTCTGTAATAAGGAGTCCAACGTGGTGTTTGCCAGTTAACTGACATTACATACTATAGTTTGACATTGGCTGGCTGAGGAGGGTTGTCCTGGGAGCCTCAACTGTGGCCACACAAATTAGAAAATCTGCAAAAGAGAAAATCTCTTCCTTGGGTATTCTGCAGTTCTCTTTAGTAAAACTGTCTATCTGCTGAATGAATTTACAAGCCATTACTTTATTAAAATGTCTAAATACAGTTAGATTTTTTTAAATTACCCAGCATACAACTTCCAGTTTACAGCTGTAAACAAACTTCACAACACCAGCATTATATATGACGTAATCTTCAGTAGAGACTGCAGGGTCCAAACATTTTAGGCAAACTAAATTTAGGCTGGAAATACAATCTGGATTAAATGTTTGCCCACTTCTCATCTTCTGGTCCTGACTGTTACAAGCCAAAAAAAGTACCCAAAATACAATTTTGTTGATCGATATGTACTGCACCATTTTGGCATACAATATTTCTCAGATTTTGTACTTTGCCATTCTGTTATGTTCTCTGACACTTTTTACTGAAACAATTAATATTAAGAGTATTTTTAACTTACATGGGTAAATTGCATTTAATTAGTCTTTTGTTACTTATTAAATAAATAATATCCATATTATATATGTCACAGATGAAAAACCACTTCTGTTGATGATTGTAAACCATTCTCTGGTTTATTATAGACACAAAGTCCTCCAGGAAGTGTCACAAAGCCACATGGTGTTCCTGAGTGCTTGATTTTGCATTTGGATCACTGAATTAACTGAATGATGTGTAAAATCCAGGGTAGCAGACAGCTCCCTATTAAATACACATGTAAGAGAGGTTGTATGTGTTGCTTATTCCAGCAAAGGTCTGCAATAAGTTATACTCAGAAAAATGATTCCTGAATGATAGGATACAAAGAACTGGTGAAAAAGGCTACAGGCTCTATTTTGATTCAAATCATGATCCATTTTCAGAATCTTTG